CTCTCACCTTTGTGGGTGACTCCATCCCACGGTGAGCTCTCCTGCATTGACGGCGCGAAGCCCTACAGCCCCCTACAGCTTCTCTGAGCACGTCCTCCCCCACCGATTTTCTATACTAGTGTATATGACAAAGTGATGACTAAATAAGTATTCTTATGTGTAGTAAGGCGAAAAGTTTCTCTAAAGTTGTAAATGTTTGCCAGAGGGCTAACAATAAAGATCATAAAAACATAAGCACAACGACATAGATGCGTGGGTCATAATATAGTTAACTGATAAAAGAGACGGTGATCGACATACGACCGTCGAATATTTTGAGCCTGTTAATGGACAGTATTCTAAGTTCTTTTCGAGTCTTTCCAATTAAACTATGTAGTATTCGACAGTCGATCATGTGTGTCTAGTCGTTGCTGTTGGTTGTCAAGTTGCTATATGATACAGGGCTACCTGTGTTTACTTCTGTGTAGTCTATTCCCTTTAGAACGCATTTTTTTTCTTTTTTTTTTAGAAATGGAGGAGGACCCCCGGCCTCTAGACGATGCATGCAGCCACTTTATTAATTATTCACACAAGGCCTTACAAAGTCATACAAAAGTAAGACTAAAGCCACCGTCTAGGTAACATCTGTCGCTACTCATATCCAGTTGATGAAGGGATGCTGATAGTCTGGCCTAATACCAAACAGACCTCACAGTCAAATCTAACATCTAAGACTTGAGGTCCCAACCAGAACGCCTGCCGGGTATGAGGCCGCCGCAGCCACCTGTCACCAATCCATCTTTAGTGTTGTACTGCTGCCGTAGACGCCACCACGACGCCAGACAACGCCACCATCCTGCACTCGTCCATCATCATACGCCCACCGGCGTGACACCACTGCTCCATGCCGCTGAGACCCGCCGTTGTCGACGTGTCAGATGCCACGCCGCTCCTCCTCTTGTCCCTTCCAGCCAGCACTTGCTCCAAAACGATGCCCCCAGGAGGGAGAACAACATCGAAAACGTCGCCATCGTCTGATCTGTAGACCTAGATCTAGGGTTTCCTCCGGAACCTTACAATTAGGTTGACGTGACCTGCAACGACGATGCCTCGAGAAGGGAACGACGTCCGAGACGCCGCCATCGTCCACCATGACCGCAGTCAGGCGCGATTTTCACCGGAAGCCACGTCGTCCCGATCTCGCGGCTGGCTGGAACCGAGCGGAGCCTCGCCACGAAGACGAACGCCGTTGTCGGTAATCCGGTGGAGATCCGACATCTCCTCACCGATCCCTCCACGCGCTGCCGGTCGGCGGAAGGCCACCCTGTGGCAGATCCGATTGGGGTGTTGGATCCGCAGCCGCCGCCGTCGCCAGCTCCGCACAGATCAGCCACCCCGTCGGATGGGGCGCTGCCACCGTCGCCGTCTATCTCAGGGTCGCCGCTCCGCCGGCTTATGTCGCTTCGGTCACCGCCGCACGACATGGGATCACCGCCCCAGTCGCCGCCTTCGGATCCCACGAGAGGGGGCGCCTCAGATG